ACTTTTTATATATAGAAAGATTATTCTCTTTACTATTACTCTACAATCATATTTTCAGATTTATTTGGTATCAAATTGAGGTAAGAATACTTTGTGCGAGTGGTAAATTCTTATATCTTTAATATTTTTATAGACTTTGGCATGAAATACTCTTTAAGGCATTCGGATCGATTTCTATGTTAAATCCTATGGGATGGGTCGTTAAGTCGAATATGTTAAATCCTATGGGATGGACCGTTAAGTCGAATATGTAAATCCTACGGAATATAGGAATTCTGAAGAAATTCCTTGAGATATTGGATATCACGATCAGTTTGCTCTAAATCTAAAAAATGTCGGTAACTTTATATCAGATATCAAGTTAAATAAAAATATGCACGTATTTTTATTGAGTGTTTTCAAAATACCCACTTTTGTACTTCGGGACTTTGACGGTTCTTCTAAGGAAAAATTGCAGGTCTAGCATTTTAATTTTTCTTGTACTCTTTGTAAGTTGCTCAAAGAAGAGAAATTACTGAATTTGAAAAAATTTTGGATATATTTTTCTTGCGATACTTATGATTACTTACATTTTTCTTATATTCAAAACCTTTAATAATCCTTAATATTTTCCATGTTTTTATGATGTTCCATCTCATTATTTTCTCTGAACAATGATTCTATGGACAAATTAAAGGGAATTAATTTCAATTTCCAACACAAACTTTTTGATTTTTATCCTTTTTTTTTTCTTTTCCTTTTCTTGGTTTGAGTTTGATCCTTCTACTTTCATGAAGAAGACATTATTTTAGATAGGGAGATGTTACACGTACATAAAGGTGACCGCGAGGGACTTTTTCCTCGCAAATTTTATAATAGAACTGAATAAATTAACGTATTTCAGTGACGCAATTGCTTGTTCGCATCATTTATCTCTAAATTTCTATTTTTTGAAACATTTTTTTTTTCTTATTTCGTCACTAATCCATTGATGTTTGAGATGCAAATAATTTGCTCTCAGTTTTGAAGATTTTTGCAGTGATATAAATAATCTTTGGAGATACTATTCTCATTCAAAATCAAACATAAAAAATTATATATAACTGTCGACTTTCTAGATCCCACCAAGAATTTTGGAGTGAGAAATGGAGTGGGCAAAATCCATCGAAGACGACTTTTTATTTTCTTTTTCCGACAAGGAAGATAAGGTAGATAATATAAGACAGAATCCTAATATTCATCAATCAAGTTAGGCAGTAGATACGAAGAATTGTATATATATTTTGAAGATTCCATTTGTGATAGTTGGGGAAAAAGAAAAAGGGTTTCAGAAAATTATGATATAATACCTAAATATTATGACACAACAACAATTTGAACTTTCAATAATGATAGAAAGATGAGGCCAGGATTAAAAATAAAAAATAAAAAAAGAATAGTGATGAAGTTACGAGCGCATTTTTGTTTTTGAGAAACTACAACAGCAAAATGCTGTAAATGATAACTACTTCTGTGATTCAATATTCCATAATAATGAAAAAACTTCATCATGGATAGTATTTTATATAGTGCATGTAGAACCATCTCAATTAAAAACTTTTAAGTAAGTTAACATGGTATCGGAACTATCAAGATACGTTGACTTCAAGTCTTATTGTTATTCATTGATGGGGAACTGGGAACTGTATAATTATAAATATTTGATTAAGATGGTTTAGTGTGGTATTAAAGCATCGAATATTTCAATCTAAGTCTAGCTACCAAACATCTACGAAAATTGTCATCATAGATCATAGTTGACATTTGAAATAAATTGATTTCGACTTGCACGTGAAAGACGCGGGTAGGTATCAAGGATGTAATTTAAATAAATATACCTATTTTCTCGCAAACTATCTATTAATATATGATTTTGTGTATATTTGCGCAATGCATACGATATCACAAGAAAATGGATATGACAAGTGTATTTTATACACTTATTTATATTGTTAAATTTGATTATTTGTTGATGAATTGTATGAAACATGGGTTCATTCTCTCTCTCTCTCTCTCTCTCTCTATATATATATATATATAAGCGGGAAAAGAGGGCTGAATTGCATCAAATACAAAGTTTGGGGACTAAAATGATATAATTCAAAAGCGGGTCGGAATGCAAAACGATGATCCAAGAATGCCAAGAGTCAATTAGAATTGAAGAAAAGTTGGCAGGATGAGAAATTGTGGAAAATGATCAAAACACACACTTGAGAAAGTTCAAATTTGTACCATGAAAAGCACTGCTTGAGGCTAAATTTTGTGCATTGTTTGTACTTTCACTTTGAAGCATGCGTACGCGTGATTCAATTTCGGGGAAAAAACTTGTTTCCTTATTTTGTTTTGGAAACTATTGTTATGCAATCTTTTGGCACCTTATATATACCATTAGCCATCCAAACCGTGAGGTGGTCAATCTATCATCATATTAATAGCGAAAAAGACGTTTTACATCGAAGAGTCAAGAAATTCATTGTTTGGGGTTGAAGATTAAAGTGAAGAATTGGAGCTTTCAAATCCTTCATCATATTCCTTGTCTCGGGTGATTTTTTTCTTATTCTTTTGTGTAATTTCCTATGGCTATGCTAGGCTAAACAACTTATGTATTGGATGGATGACAAAGCTTATTGATTTGTGATTTTAATACAAAACTTATCGTTTTTTTTAGTTAATTCTCTTGTTTGTGGTTTGATAAGCATTAAGATTGTTTGTTTGAATATTTGTGCACCATTTAGGCAATAAAGTTGCTAATTTATAGTATTGAAAAAACTTATAATAAGTAGAACGTTGCATGTTGAACACGCGGGCAATAGATATTATGAATAATGTTTATGGTGTGTGTGGTCAAATGTGATAATCTGATAATTGAATGTGTGATTTGCATGTGAATTCGGATTAAGAATATGATTGAGTCGTGTTAATTATATGTTTGATATATCTTGAAAAAAAATATTAAATATAAATTGATTATCAATAGTCACAAATACGTTAACCTCACTAATTAACGTAAGTCGAAAATTAGAACTAGATATCAATTTGTGGAGTCAGAAATCGAATACCTTCGTCTCATATTTGACGGAAAAACTCAACTTTACAGCTTTCATAGTTAATTACAATAATCATAACAATCAAATCAATTTTTAATGTTACAATAGATTGAACTTGATAAATACTAGTATACTAAAGTTGAACGTTATTCGTCGTGGGACAATATTCGTAGTTCACTGCATATTACTTGTCAACGATCTCGTACGCTTGCAGGATATTCTACGACCAGGACACAAGGTAAAATTATACTTTCCAAGTGCATTTATAAGTTTCTAAAGCAAAAAGTTGAGAGAATGACTTCAAAATTTTTGACATACCCAAGCTTTGATCTAAACTACTTCAAACCTACTATCTAGGTGACTAGGCAGGTAAAAAATGTTCTTTTTGAAAAATAAATAGCTTAGTCAAGGAAAACTATTTCTTTCTACAGATTTTAATTATGAAGAATTTAGAATTATAGACTTGTATATTTTCTTGCAATCCAATACGGTTTCTATTTAGAGGCTTGAATTTGTGAGATGCTAAGATTGTCCCACAG